TCTCGCTGTCTCTCTTGGACTTAGCTTCCCCCGAGTCGGCGACTCTGCCGCCACGCCACCCACGTCTCAACCTCTGCCCCGTGCCGCCAACGATCTCGCGTCCCTTCCTCCCTGCTTCTCCGTCAATCATTTGAAAGCTGCCGCGAAGGCGCAATAAGAAGGCGACCGCGTTCCGCGGAGCAACGCGTTGTGTCATCGACGTTGTCGTCGTTGTTATCGTTGAATGAACGAAGTCGCGGGGGAAAAAGGAAGAGGATGAGAGAGGGAGGAAGGGAGAGAGCGGCGAACGAGAAGTAACACGCGGAACGGACGAGATGAACGCGCGCGCGCGCAGTATGGGAGGCTGAATGAAGAGCGTGAATGGTGGCCGATGGTTGTGACGAAGGGTCGGAGGATCGAGCCATTGAAGACACTACACCGTGTGCGAGCCCGCGGAGAAAATTACACGTTTGCGGGTAACGCGCGATATATTCCGTATGCGAGCAGATTGACTTCTAACAAGCTTGCTGTCTATAGAGCCTTTTTTTGCTACGAGTGCAGCGACCGGGGAATCTTTATTTAAGGGAAGCGTAAGTTCGGCGCAGGAGATCGCCCGCTGAAAAATTGACAAAGGAGAGAGAGAGCTGTCGTGTGTCCGCGTTAATCTCTCCGCGCGTTCAGGGAGCGCGTTATCAGCGCTGAACGTTCGACTCGGTAAAACGGAGGAGATTAATCGCGTCGCGCGCGTAACTACAACCACCGACTCTCACTCGCCGACTTTTCGTTCACGGCCTCCTGCAGTTCGCAAAAATCAGCGTTGCGTGTGTACCGGAGACTCCGCTATCATGAGCGGCAAATACGAGCGTTACGCTCGCCACCGGCCGGCCGGCTGTGCGATTCGTTCCGCGTAATCCCGATGTGAAAAGATCGCTCGGCGTGCATCATAATTCGCTCGACAATGATGTACGATCTTACCCCGCAGCGCGATTACGTCATCAACCGTTCGGACACATGTACGAGAGATACCGAGGACTCCATCTCGCCGCAACGAGGATCTCTTTACGCTGTCTTATGTGCACTTTATCACGAGGCGATTACCGTTAATCGCTCGGTCGTCATATAAAGGGACGAATGAAGTGCCGAGCGGAATCGAATGAAGCGGTTACGAGGTGGATAAATAATCGCGATAACGACGTTACACGATGTTGCGAGCAAGGGGGATAGCTAATACGGGACACCCGGGGCGGAAAAACTCGTTACGTCCGGCCACTTCCTGCGTACACTAACGAAGTGTTAATTCTACGCGCGTTGGACTCTGGAGCGATGATGATGGTGTATGATGCGGCGTGTACCGCCGCCAGGGGCATTCTTACCGTCGCTACTACATCGGGAGTCGACCTTTCCCCTTTTCAACTTGAGGTTTTGAAACAAGCTCATGTTGTCTAGCTCACACGGGCTGCGCGTAAGGGTCATAATTCCTGAAAGCAGAAAAGATGATGAGGATTAGCGTTAGTTTTAATGCTCGCTTCGACGAGTGCGTCGTAATTGGATGCTTTCCATTTAATGGCACAAATATTATCTTGTCTGTGTTTCATATTTAATGAATAACAAGGGGACATTTAATGAATAACAAAGGACGATGCTTGCGTTGACTTGTGTCATGCATGGAAAAAAGAATTAGCTCGCACAGCTAAAAACTAGCTCTCACAGGTGATAATTAGCTCTCCATACAATACAATTGAAATTTAGTTAATTTAGCTAATTTTTTTTTATACTTAGTTTTTAGCTCCCACTGCTAAAAGCTGTCTCATTAAATTTTAGTTGTATTATATGGGCAGCTAATTTCTTTTTTCCGTGTGAAAAGCACCCATTCTGAATTCGAATTTGTCTTATTTGCGAGAATAGACTGGAATCATTTCGCGCCTCAAGTAGACTCGCATTTTCGAGTCGCGCGCGTCCGATTTTTACGTTCACGCTAAATGAGCTGCCAAGACTTGACTTGAGAGTTACAAAAGTCTACTAATTTTACACATTGTTTATAGATTTCAGGTATCAATATTTGATTATCAACGCTATGAATATCACTTCGGTCTTATACCTTAATTTTACCCAACATAACGTCGCGATTATTTTGGTACTCGCAAAAAACGCGATCGATCAGCTAACGGAAAACGATATCGTATACACTCTTGACGAACTGAATTCAGATGTCAAATCGCCCAGATTCACGTTTCTTGCGAAATTCCGTCATCCTTTCTCACTCGACGCTCGTTGCGGGCCTCGCGCGTGCGTCCCTATCGATGTACCTGCGTTCGATCACGGCCGTAAGTCGTCCCATTCGCGCAGAACACGGCTGATTTATCAGCTATCGTTGGGAGAACGTGAAAGTACACGAGCGCGTGTACGAACGGGCGCGATTAACGGCGAGCGCATGATTCGCCATTAACCCCGCTTTAGCTAGCAATAACGTACAATTGGATCGATCGCGTGACGACGTGTGTCGTTCGCCGCGCGGTGCGAAACCGACTCTCGCGTTTCACGGGGTCCTCGTGAGGTCCTGTTCTATCGCGGGACCTGTCGCAGGTCCTGTCCTGTCCCAATCAGGGTTGTCACCTCTTCGGCTTTTGTTCGGAGTTTTCGGATGAAAGGAAAAATCTCCGGACCTCAAAAACAAATTTTCCGGGCCAATGCGGCAAAATATGTGTGGAGTGATGAAGGAAACCGTTTAAAAGTCGAAATTTTTACGAAAATGTATTACGATATGAAATGCAAAGACTTTTACAAATATATTATAAACTCAGAGTAAAGCACATTATTGAAAAACGCCATAAATAATGCTAAATAATATACTTTTAAAATAAAGAAGCAACTGTGTAGAAATTTTGATTTTGTTAGAGGATGAGTAACAGATACATTTTGACAGTATAACATGCAAAGTGCAATACATATGTAATGTCGAATGCAATGATGTGTGTAATGCCTTAATAGTAATAAATGAAAGATACTTGAAGTTTGGTGTGCTATATTATTATCATTATTAACGTAACGTCCCCCCTTTTTTTTAGAGAGACTCCACTTTGATCTGCGGGCGAACGGACGAACTGAAAGGTGGCAACTCTAGTCCCAATCGACGCGATGCATCGCGATGGAATAATTAAACCCCGACGACCCCTGTAAGTTTGTCGTCGACTCCCTCCCCCCCCCCCTTCCCANTATTATCGCTCAGCGTAGCATTATTGAAATTTCCCACGAGATCGGTTTACAACAAGCTTTACGAACTGAGCTTCGCTTTGTTCCAGCTAGACGAGACCAGGTCTAGCTCGAGATGACCGCGAGTGCTACGGGGGTCATTTCAATAATGCTACGCTGAGCGATAATAACAAATCGCGCGTCTTATCGTGGATGGACGGCGAACAATTGCGCCGGTCGGCCACACTGTCGGAAAGAGATCGGGTCGTCTAAGCGGTTTTACGACTGCGTCGACCTGACCGCCGGGTCGTTTTAATAAGGGCGATGATGCGCGCGTCAATCGCCGCGAATTTTTATGCCTCGCCACGTTCGCCGCAGTCTTCATCCTTCTGAGAAACGCGACATGCTGCTGGCGCTCACATTGTTGCGTTCCAACGGTGACACACGGGGTGATAGGTCTTTTCTATTTATTCGTATCATCTGCCATCCTTGCTACTTTTTTTATTTCTCCGTTGACGTTCCTTCGAGTACAGTACATCTATCGCGTCTTCTGATCGCAGGGAATGTTAAAATAACCGCATAAAGGGAAGGAATCTTATTTGTTTGTTTTCGTCTCTTCGGGAATCAAAGTCGCCGACGGGAATGAACAAGATGTTTTTTTTACGCACGCGACTGTGCAGATTCTGATTGATAACGCATTACGGCGTTATCGTGCAATACGTAAATCGCGAAGCAGTTGTTTGTCACGACGAAGATGTTAGGCAGTGAAGTTCATCAAAGTGGAGACGCACTTGCGCGAGGCTTTCTATTTGTTTTCAGCGCGCAAACTTCGTTCGACTAATCCGAGCGACATTAATATTCCGTAACAATGTCTGTCTCCATTTCGAAAGTTGTTTATTCTAGAATGCCGGCGTGGAACTTCTTGCAGCTATTCCTACACGCAGGCTCTCTCTTGGTCTACCTGCTCACAAGAAACGGCTCCATACTTATGAGCAGGCTGCATGTTTAATTAATATTGTCGAGTGTATATCATGTACCAGATTATTTGCCGCGCGTTATGCAGGGGTCATTATTATATACACGGTACTATAAGCGAAGTTCTTCTATTTCAAACGCGTCGATCGATTTACACCGGCTACTCAATTATTTCATACGTCTCTCTTCCGCCGGAGAACTACCTCAAAATGAAAAATTGACAAGATCGATCGCGAATTGTCTCGAAACTATTAAAAGCGACATCTACAAAGTAATTCCCCCTTAAAAGTGGAAATGGGTCAAATAAATTCGATTTGGCAATAGCTGGTTTAATATAAGGGATTCGATATTAGAAGAACGAGTTTCAACCGTGGAGATGAATCAAGTATTTTTCCGCATTTTCCACGACAACAATCTTACACGCGAAAGGTAAATGTCACAACATTGCTCTTGTTTAACAATATACCAACATTGAACAAAACAAAGGCCGATATTCGTAGTTGGATCTTATATTTGAGACCGTCCGTAAGTTCATCTTCAGATCTTTATAGCCAATAAAATAAGCCGTACAGTATCTGAAAATGAACTTAAGACGGTTTTAAAACCTGACTATAAATACTAGTTGAAATCGTCGTTCGCAGCGCAACATTGTTTACCTTCTCCAGAATTCCGTACAATCGTGCAAAATTGTCAAAAATTATGTAAAATTCCGAAATATCTTGCGAAGAATATTTTTCAATCCACGCGACGTATCGTGAATCGTCGAGCGGGAGCGCGGCTGGTATGAACGGTGCTTAATCAGCCGCGCGCGGCCACGTGGGCGAGCGTATGCACCGCGCGACGCTAGATGGCACACGTGAGCGTACGGCGAGCGGCGAGAGGCGGCAGAGCGCATCCACGCTTCGAGGAGGTAAGCACGCATGTGCACGCTCGCTCGACCGACCGTGTGTATAGATAGACGAGTATATACGTGGCTGGTGCAGCCAGCGCGGGGTCCTTGCTCCCTGCCGTATGTGGGTCAGCAGTCTCACACACGCCGCTATTCTTGCGTAACCAATGCATGCATACGGCCGCGCGCGCGCGGAAGAGAGAGAGTCGCCGCGGCGACGCATGCACGTGCACACGCATACATTCGCCGAGACGGAAAGTGCAGCCAATGCACTAACCTACGATGGTCTCCTCTTGAGAGAGGCCGCTGGCGCTTATGTGCGCCCGTGTATGCGTGTGTGTGTACGAGCGTGCGCGAGTGCAGAGTGCACGCGGCGGCGAACTCAAAGCCACGCAAGCTCGTCTATCTCGAGCGAGCTTATTCAAGTTTTCGCGATGCGGTATTTGCTCTATTACGCGAGGATCTGCACGCGGCAGCTTTTCTCGTTTCAGGACAGACTGCTCTAGTTCGGATTCTTACGAAATGCGCGACGCTTTGTAAATAGCGTTTTTGAAAAATTGAGTTTTCGAGCTTATGATCGTCGTATTACGTTGTTTCGATATAATTTTGTATGCAATCTTTGAAATATTAGGCATTTTATTATACACGTAACTACTATAATTACTAATAGTTTGCTAGTTTCTCAATTTTCTTAGTTCCTCAGTTTTTCAATTCGATTAACAAGTTTAATAGTATATTTTCTAATACTATCTCGATATGCAAAAACTTGTATAGAGCAAAGCACTGTTTGATAATTATTATGACATTGGGATATGAATTTTATCCATAGGAAATACCAATTATTGTTAATTTTAAGCTTAAGTTTGTACGAGAAATACGTATTCAAGTACGCTCATTGGCAAATGGCCCGTTAAAAAATATTGAGGTCGGCGTAATACAATAATTGTAAACGAAACAACACAATGAAAGTTTACGTTTCGCATTCGAACGGAATTTTATGCTTACCGACACCTTTCACGCGGTTGTTAATTCATACCTTCATGTTTATATTCCCCATTCGAAAGGTTACAACTTTCTACTCCATAAGCCGTCAATAATAATGTCATATATCGGCAATCCGATTAATTTATTGAATACGAAATTATATCATTACAGAGCTACGCAATTAAATTAATAACCAAACGGCATTTATTTCATAATAAAATCCTCAATAAATAAGTCATTGATCGTGCCGATACTCAAGATACACATCAAAGATACCTTTACATTCGCGTGAAAAACCTACATGGATATGCTATACGATGTAGATAAAATCTAGTATCATGATATCACTTCTTAGTACACCCGATATGTAGAAAGATCTCAATTTGTGCTTGTCGAATATACGAGCTTATCGTCGTTATAAATTTCCATAGCAATATATTCCGAGTGATACATCATAACACGCCTAAACTCGTGTTCGTCCCCTAAGATCATTTGGTCGACGCAAAGTTGACGCCCGAAGAATGATATATATCGAACGAAGAGTCGACATCCCAAGTCGAAATTTGAGTCCTATATTTTAAGTTTCATTTAATTCTATATTAAATGTTCAAACATCTTCTATTGTGTTTTTTGATGCTACAAATGGGGAAATTATTGCCGTTTTTTTTTTATTTGAAGACTAAAACTAAAATTTAGATTCTGGAGAATTAAATTTGCTTTAAAAGGGGCACTTATTATGCTTCTTTGATATTACAAATGAAAACTTATTTCCGTTTTATCTACTTAAAGACTTAACATAGAATTAAAAATTTCGATTCAGGATGTCGCGACAATTTTGCACGAGGCGTAGATTATTCGCTGAGGAACCGTCGCCGACGTCGTAAACGTTCCTCTGACGAAACGGGACGTCTGATTTTCCGCGCCGCGTTTCAGATATTACCGCTACGAGGTCTGCGGACGGTGAAAGTGACTCTCCCACGCCATGACATCCTAGGTCTATAACTCCCCCACTTTCGGTGCCTGTGTACCCGCTTCACCGTATCTCCTAGACGATAATTTTTTCCTCTATCCCCTCCCCCCTCGTCCTCTCTCCGTCTATTCTGTCTGTAGCGCTTCTCGTCGCGGTATAACCGCTTCGCCATTGGTCCCTGCACGGCGGGCTGTATAATCGAATTCTCGATTGCAGTAATCGCACACGCACACATGCTAAGGACACGCGCACGTCGGTCGAAGACACACCGCAGGAAGGCGAAAAATTCCGCAATCTACGGCCGATACTTCTCTGTATTGCAAGTACAGGTTCCGCGTTTCATTTATTTTGATCTTTCGTTACGTGTTGTCATGTCATGTCTTATGCATGTGGCGAGATTGCTCTTCATTGCCTACGTCTGTTGTATTTCTACTGCTTTACTCCACGTAGCACCTATTCCAATAGTCATCCATGTAGAGCGAAACGTAAGACAGTCTTATCAGCTTGTACCGTTATGCGAAAGATAAATTAGTACTTATCTAAGCAGAGAGCTTCCGTGGGCATATACGGCATACGAGGGCAATCCGATAAGTACTTAGCCTACAAAAGAAAAACGAAAATTTTGGAAAAGTGGCGATTTATTTCTCAACATAGTCTCCTTTTAGCTCGATACACTTGACCCAGCGATGCTCCAACTTCTTTAACCCATCTGAAAAATACGTTTTCTCGAAGTCTGCAAAG